AGTTTTTAATTGAATGGTACTGCTCTTTGTGGAGCAGGGATAACTCATGGGCAGTGCATGTACAGCAGGCAACCTATGGACTCTTGGCAACCATATTTATATTCGCTTATACTCATTTTTAATTATATGCAAATAGAAGGGTGAGTTAATGCAAATTGATGGAGGGATTATTTAGAACTTTTTAGGAAAGGGTGGTGACTTCTGGGTCATTGGTGTGGAAAGGCGTGGTAACCTCTGGGTCATTGCCATGGCATTTGTAAACTGTCATGATGCTGGTGGGAGTGTCTTATGCGAGGGAGCAATGAGGGCAGCTAGGGATTGCTTTTGTCACCATCTGCTGGTTCTTTCCCAACAAGTCCTACTGGTCTCCTCTCTCGATTTTAACACTATTAATTCTCTGATTTCATGTGTATGGGATGTCTTTCCATTTGTGTCCTCTTCAATTTCTTTCATCAGTGTTTTGTAGTTTTCATTGTAGAGATAGTTTACCTTCTTGGTTAGATTTACTCCTAGATTTTTTTTTTTTTTTTTTTTCAGCAAGATAAATGGGCTTCTTCATTTCTTTCTGAGCTAGCTCATTTTTGGTGTGTAGAAATGCTAATGATTTTTGTATGTTGATTTTGTATCCTGCAACTTTACTGAATTCATTATTAATTCTAGGAGTTTTTTGGTGGAGTTTTTAGGTTTTCCTAAATATATGATCACATCATCAGCAAGGAGGGAGTTTGACTTTTTCAATCTGGATGCCTCTCATTTCTTTTTCTTGCCTGATTGCTCTGGCTAGGATTTCCATCACTGTATTGAATAGGGGTGATGAGAGTGGGCATTCTTGTCTTATTCCAGATCTTAGAGAAAAGACTTTCAGCTTTTCCCCATTTAGTGTGATGTCAGCTGAGGGTTTGTCATATCAATAAATTGTTATGAAGTAAGTTCCTTCTATTCCTAGTTTGTTTGGAGGTTTTATCATGAAAGGATATGGAATTTTATTAAATGCAATTTAATAATTGTTTCAATTGAGATAATCATATGGTTTTTGTCTGTGTCTCCTGGGCTCAAGTGATCCTCTTGCATCAGCCTCTTGAATAGCTAGAACTACAGGCATATGGCACCACACACAGCTAATATTTTTATTTTCATAGAGATGGGGTCTTGCTACATTGTCCAGGCCATTCTCAAATTCCTGCCTCAAGTTATCCTCCTGTCTCAGCCTCCCAAAGTGCTGGGATTACAGGTGTGAGCCATGGAATTTCTGTATACCATTTAGAATCAGCTTGTCAATTTCTATCAATCCAGTCTGCTGAGATTTCGATTGGTATTCTTGTTTGAATCTATAAAATTGAATCTCATTCTCAAAATGAGAAAGGCTTCTTGGAAGCAGTGTATTTTTTTTTTTTTTTTTTAAAGATGGAGTCTCGCTCTGTCGCCCAGGCTGGACTGCAGTGGTACGATCTCGGTTCACTGCAAGCTACGCCTCCTGGGTTCACGCCATTCTCCTGCTCAGCCTCCCGAGTGGCTAATTTTTTGTATTTTTAGTAGAGACAGGGTTTCATCATGTTAGCCAGGATGGTCTCGATCTCCTGACCTCGTGATCCGCCTGCCTTGGCCTCCTAAAGTGCTGGGATTATAAGTGTGAGCCACCGCACCCGGCCAGCAGTACATATTTTAATCAAATGTCTAGAATATGTCATTATTAACTGTTGCCATGGAGCAATATGATATAATCTGAATAACTGTTAAAATTAAACCCTTAATTCCAAAAAATGAAAGATAAGCTTTGGTGTGAATGTGAAGAAATTGGAGCCCTAGTGCCTTGTTGGTGGGCATGCAAAAAGGTACAGCCACTGTGGAAAACAGCCTGGCAATTCTTCAAAAATGTAAACACAGAACTATCCTGTGATGAAGCAATTCCAATTCTAGGTATATATCCAAAAGAACTGGGCCGGGAGCGGTGGCTCACGCCTGTAATCCCAGCTCCTCAGGAGGCTGAGGCAGGAGAATCACTTGAACCTGGGAGACAGAGGTTGCAGTGAGCCGAGATCGTGCCATTGCACTCCAGCCTGGGCCACACAGCGAGACTCCATCTCAAAAAACAAACAAACAAACAAAAAACAAAACAAAAAAGCAAAATCTGAAGTCAAGGACTTCAACAGGTATTTGTACACCAACGTTGAGAGCAACATTATTTACAATAGTCAAAATGTGGAAACAATTCAAATGTCTATCCACAGATGAATGGAGAAACAAGATGCAGTATACACATACGATGGAATATTCTGTGGCAATCTGAAGGAATGGAATTTTGGCATACGCTACGGCATGGATCAACCTGTGTCACATTATGCCAAGTGACATAAGCCAGACACAGAGGGACACATATTGTGTGATTTTACTTATATGAAGTACCTAGAATAGGCAAATTCATAAAAACAAAAAGTAGGATAGAGATTACCAGGGGCTGAGGTGAGGGGAATGCGAAGTTTTGCATAATGGACACAGAATTTATGTTGGGGACAATGAAAAAATACCAGAGACAGAAAATGGTGATAGTTGCATGACATTGTAGATATACTGAATGGCGGTGAATTGCACACTTAAAATCAGTCAGACAGGCCAGGTGCGGTGGCTCTTGCCTGTCTGAAAGGAATTTCTCCTTTCACTTCTGTCAGTTTTTGCTTCATGCATTTTGAATTATTGAATGCATACTGTTATGACTTTGATGTTTTCTTAATGAAGTAACTCCTTTATAATGATAAAATATCTCTTTTAATTCTCAGTAGTATTCCTTGTTTCTCATATGGCGCTCACCCAAGTCAAATGACTGATGTATCTCCAAGTCATCCCATCCTTGCCCTCCAGCTCTACCTTGGATGGGAGTCTACATCTCAAAAGTTCCTGAGATTATGTTCCCTACCCTCCTAGGCATGACGGATCTTAAATCAGAGATTAAGTTGAGTTATGGAGAAAATAAAGAAATAAAATAAAGAAAGTAAAGGTTTTCTTCTTTGTTGTCACTACTGGCTGGAGGCTGGGTGCTCTTAAATGTCACGGACAAGTGCCACTCTATTCCTCCCATGCTCCCTGCATGCCAGCTTGTCCCATGGTGTCCCTTTGTTTCTTTTCTTTTCTCTTTTTTTTTTTTTTTGAGGCAGGGTCTCACTCTGTCACCCAAGCTGGAGTACAGTGGCACGATCTCAGCTCACTGCAACCTCCGCCTTCCAGGTTCAAGTGATTGTCCTGCCTCAGCCTCCTGAGTAGCTGGGACTACAGGCATGCGCCATCACGCTCAGTTATTTTTGTAGTTTTAGTAGAGATGGGGTTTCACCATGTTGCCCAGGCTGGTCTTGAACTCCTGACCTCAAGTAATCCGCCTGCCTCAGCCTCCCAAAGTGCTGGGATTATAGGTGTGAGCCACCACGCCCAGCCACATGTGGCATTTTAATTCGGCAGGAAAGGGTGGAATTATGTAATGAGAGGCACTGCAGTCAGCTCACTCCCCACCTGGAAGAAAATGCACCTGGGCCTGTCTGTTACACTAGCCCACAAAACAAATTCCAGAAGAGATTTATTAAATGAAAAAAAAAAAAACCCACAATATGAATCTTGTAAGAAAATGTAAAATATGAGAAGACCTTCTCAATCAAGACTGGAAACCCAGAAGTTAGGAAATGTGACTATTTAAATGTATGCATGCCAAAAGAGGCTGGAGACAAAGTACAGGGACAAAGGAGAAACTCAGAAAAAATGTCTGCACAGCTGAAGACAATAGCAGCTTAATACCACCCCATAAAAGGGGTTTTTGCAAATCAAGAAGTGGACAACACAACAGAAAAGCGAGCTAAACATACAGAGGAGCAATTCACAGAAAAAAATTCCAGTGGCCAACAAACAAAAGAAAAGGTGCTGCTTAATCAGGCTAAACAGTCGGGAAATGCAAAGTAAAGTTATACTACTACACCCATCAGTTTGGCAATAATTAAAAAGGCTTTGGGGCCAGGCATGGTGGCTCATGCCTGCAATATCAGCACTTTGGGAGGCCGAAGCAGGAGCGTTGCTCAAGCCAGGAGTTGGGGTACATATTCTCAGGACCTCTTGAGACTGCACCTCAGAACAAAAAAAATATATATATATATATATGAGAGATATGGTTATATATGATATATATACTATATCTATCTGTATATCATATATATAAAATATGGTTAGGCTTTGTATTCTCACACGAATCTCATCTTGAATTGTAATTGCCAGGTGGAGGTAATTGAATCATCGGGGCAGCTTCCCCCATGCTGTTCTCATGACAGTGAGTGAGTTCTCATGAGATCTGATGATTTTATAAGGGGCTCTTCCCCCTTTGCTCTGCACTTCTCCTTCCTTCTGCCTTGTGAAGAAGATGCCTTGCTTCCCCTTCACCTTCTGCCTTGATTGTAAGTTTCCTGAGGCCTCCCCAGCCATCCTGAACTGTGAGTCAATTAAACCTCTTTCCTTTATAAATTACCCAGTCTCAGGCAGTTCTTTATAGCAGTATGGAAACTGACTAATACTATATATATATTATATATGTTTTATATATAATATACATATATATGTAAACTTTAACATCTATTAATGATGGGGATATGAGGAGATGGAAATTTTCATGCTTTTTTGTGGATGAGATGTTAATTTTTTTTTTTTTTTGAGACGGAGTCTCGCTCTGTCTCCCAGGCTGGAGTGCAGTGGCGCGATCTTGGCTCACTGCAAGCTCTGCCTCCCGGGTTCACGCCATTCTCCTGCCTCAGCCTCCTACAGGCGCCCGCCACCACGCCTAATTTTTTTTGTATTTTTTTAGTAGAGACAGAGTTTCACCATGTTAGCCAGGATGGTCTCAATCCCTTGACCTCGTGATCCACCCGCCTCAGCCTCCGAAAGTGCTGGGATTACAGGCATGAGCTCCCACACCCGGCCAGAGATGTTAATTTTTAAAAACTTAGCTAATATCTAGTAAAATAGAACATTCTTACATTTTCAGCCCAGCAATCTCATTCATGGCTTAGATGCCTCTTCCTCCAGGAAGCCTCCGGACCTCACAGTCCCAGCTGCTTGTGGGTTGTAAACTGAATATCCAGCAACAGGTCTGTTTCCCCTGTTCACGGGGCTGTGTCATCATCCAATTGCACCAGCACCGTCCAGTGCCTGCGCAGAGGAGACTCTTAGTGAACATCTGCTGGACGAATGGATCTGACCTCATGTCACCCTGCGAATGGCATAGGTGGTCTGCCAATTTGACAAGTGAACCATGAAGGCACAGCTCTCTGGTGACTTAACCAAACAATGGAGCTGAGACACCATTCCAACACAGACACTACTTTCCTTCCAACCCAGTGTTCAACCCACTGCTAGGCCTGCTCCAGGTGAGTGACCAGAGCCAGCAGAGACCTGGAAGGACAGACCTCACCTCAGCAAAGAAGCTGGGGGAGCTGTCTGAGTGGCCGAAAGAGTGACTGGCAGGCAGGAAACAGCCTGTAGGTGCTGTGGGGTGTTTTGTTTTGTTTTGGAGACAAAGTCTCACTCTATTGCCCAAGTTGGAATGCAGTGGTGCAATCTCAGCTCACTCAAACCTCCACCTCCCGAATTCAAGCGATTCTCATGCCTCAGCCTCCTGAGTAGCTGGGACTACAGACCTTTTCCACCACACCTGGCTAATTTTTTTGTATTTTTAATAGAGACAGAGTTTCACCATGTTGACCAGGCTGGTCTTGAACTCCTGGCCTCAAGTGATCCACCTGTCTTGGCCTCCCAAAGTGCTGGGATTACAGGCGTGAGCCACCGCACCAGGTCATGTAAGTGCTGTATTTGATCCTAAATATGAATGTGGGGTTTATCATTCTAGTTTACAAGAGCAGACTTTTGTTGTGATCAAGTCCTCTTAACCACAAATAGAGTGCTTAAGTATTTTCAAATATCCTTCTTATGCCCATTGTTGCAAAAATGCAACATGTCTGATTGAGCATTATTGGTTCTTGCTCCATCTGACCTAATAAGCACACTTTCACACGTCAAGTGGTCTTCTGAGGCATAAGGAAAATTTGACTTGTGCTCTGCCGAGGACCATCCTGAAGATAGAGGGCTCATGTAGGCTTTTCAGAATTTTAATTTCACCCAAAATATACTTCATTGTTTAAAAATATTTTAGTGACTCTATACATAATACCTTTGACCATATATGGAGAACCAAGGAACATAATGATGCTGGTTGGTTGCTTCTAAGTTCAGTGGACAAAGTGATTACAGAAAATGATGGGTAGGGCACGTTGACTCACACCTGTAATCCCAGCACTTTGGGAGGCCAAGGCAGGTGGATCACAAGGCCAGGAGATCCAGACCATCCTGACTAACACAGTGAAACCCCATCTCTACTAAAAATACAAAAAATTGTCCAGGCGTGGTGGCAGGCGCCTGTAGTCCCAGCTACTCAGGAGGCTGAGGCAGGAGAATGGTGTGAACCTGGAAGGCAGAGTTTGCTGTGAGCCGAGATCGTGCCACTGCACTCCAGCCTGGGCAACAGAGTGAGACTCTGTTTAAAAAAAGAAAGAAAGAAAATTATGAACTTAGGGATTCTATCTGTCTGCTTCAGAGGCAGATACTGAGCCTCAAATCTGCTAAGACTGCCCTGAGTGAGAGTCTTATCTCCTGTAGAGAAAGAGCTGAAATTGTGGAAAAACAGACACAAGCTCTTATCATGCAAGTGGCTGACCTGCAACGAAAGAGGCATGCACAGCCTCACCAGGTGTCTACTGTTAAGGTGAGGGCATTGATTGGAAAAGAATGGGATCCTGTGACTTGGAATGGGGATGTGTGGGAGGACCCTGCTGAAGCTAGGGGCACTGAGCTTGTAAACTCTGATGAATCTTTTTTTCCAGAAGACACAACTTGCCCATCCCCAGTAGCAGCAACATCCTCTCCCCAACCCATGCTATCATTAGCCTTTCCATCTTTGTCTGAGAAGATAAAACCTGTTCTGCCTGAGGCAGTTGCCAGGCAAGATAATGTTGATTCTCCTCAGGAGCCACCCCCAACACCTGTTTGCTTTAGACCTATGACTAGACTCCAATCCCAGCAGGCCCCTAGAGGTGAGGTTGAGAGTGAGCTATACTCAAAAAGAACTGTTTGAGTTCTCTAATTTATATAAACAGAAATCTGGAGAACAAGCATACAAATGGATATTAAGGGTATGGGATAATGGTGGAAGAAACATAGAGTTGGATCAGGCTGAATTTATTAATTTGGGCCCACTAAGTAGGGACTCTGCAATTAATGTTGCAGCTCTGGGAGTTAAAAAGTTTCTAATTGTTTATTTGCTTGGTTAGTTAAATATGAATTAAAAGATGGCCCATTGTGAGCAAGCTGGAAATGCCTGATCTCTTTGTTTAATGTAGAGGAAGGTATCCAAACGCTTAGGGAGATTGCGATGGTGGAGTGGATTAGTCAAATTAGACCTACTCATCCCAGCTGTGAGGGTCCAGAACCTATATCCTTAACCTATGCCTTACAAAATAGATTTGTGAGGACAGCTCCTGCATCTTCGAAGAGCCCTGTAATTGTTCTTCTCTGTATGTCAGATCTAATGGCAGGAACCACAGTCACTCAACTACAAAATTTAAATACAATGGGAGTAATTGGGTCTTGAGGTGGCAGCGGCAAGTGGAGGCATTCAACGGTCAAAGGCAAGGTGGGAGTAGCTACTGTAATGGACAGCAGAGGCAAAGTGGCAACCAGAATAGTCTGACTCGTGTAGAGTTCTGGCATTGGCTAATTAATCATAGTGTTCCTAGAAGTGAAACTGATAGGAAGCCTACTTCATTCCTACTTAATTTATACAAGCAGAAAACTTCTAGGTCAAATGGACAAAAGACTAATTTGAAATATAAAAATAGAGAATCAGGGCCCTTCAATCAATTTCCAGACTTGAGCCAGTTTATAGACCCAAAACTCCTTGAATGAAGGGGAGACCGGGTCCCCTTGAGGAAGGACCCCACTAGATTATTGACAATTTATGCACTGAATCGCTCACCCATCCTTCCCCAAGCACACATCTGGCATTTTACCAGGGTAACTGTCCACTGGGAAAAGGGAAATGATCAGACATTTCAGGGACTACTGGACACTGGCTCTGAGCTGACACTGATTCCGGGGGACTATAAACGTCATTTTGGTCTTCCAGTTAAAGTAGGGGCCTATGGGCCGGGCGCGGTGGCTCAAGCCTGTAATCCCAGCACTTTGGGAGGCCGAGACGGGTGGATCACGAGGTCAGGAGATCGAGACCATCCTGGCTAACACGGTGAAACCCCGTCTCTACTAAAAAATACAAAAAACTAGCCGGGCGAGGTGGCGGGCGCCTGTAGTCCCAGCTACTCGGGAGGCTGAGGCAGGAGAATGGCGTGAACCCAGGAGGCGGAGCTTGCAGTGAGCTGAGATCCGGCCACTGCACTCCAGCCTGGGCGACAGAGCGAGACTCCGTCTCAAAAAAAAAGATAATTTAAAGTAGGGGCTTATGGAGGTCAGGTAATTAATGGAGTTTTCCTCAGGTCCGACTTCCAGTGGTTCCGGTGGGTCCCTAGACTCATCCTGTGGTCATTTCTCCGGTGCTAGAATGCATAATTGCTGTAGACATACTTAGCAGCTGACAGAACCCCCACATTGGCTCCCTGACTGGTAGGGTGAGGGCTATTATTCTGGGAAAGGCCAAATGGAAGCCATTAGAGCTGTCTTTACCTAGACAAATAGTAAATCAGAAACAATATCGCATCCCTGGAGGGACTGCAGAGATTAATGCCACCATCAAGGACTTGAAAGACGCAGGGGTGGTGATTCCCACCACATCCCCGTTCAACTCTCCCATTTGGCCTGTGCAGAAGACAGATAGTTCTGCACGATATGCAGGCACCACCCAAAAGTGGACAGCTGCAGTGCTACAGCCCCTTCCTAGGACATCCCTGAAGGACAGCGGTGAAGGGAAATCTTCCCAGTGGGCAAAACTTTGAGCAGTGCACCTAGTTGTGAACTTCAAATGGAAGGAGAAATGGCCAGATGTGGGATTATATACTGATTCATGGGCTGTAGCCAATGGTTTGGCTGGATGGTCAGAGACTTGGAAGAAGCATAATTGGAAAATTGGTGACAAAGAAATATGTGGAAGTATGTGGATGGACCTCTCTGAGTGGTCAAAAACTGTGAAACTATTTGTACCCCATGTGGGTGCTCACCAATGGGTGACCTCAGCAGAGAAGGATTTTAATAATCAAGTGGATAGGATGACCTGTTCTGTGGACACCACTCAGCCTTTTTCCCCAACCACCCCTGTCATCGCCCAATGGGCCCATGAACAAAGTGGCCATGGTGGCAGGGATGGAGGCTACACATGGGCTCAGCAACCTGGACTTCCACTCACCAATGCTGACCTGGCTACGGCCACTGCTGAGTGCCCAATTTGCCGGCAGCAGAGACCAACACTCAGCTCTCAATATGGCACCATTCCTTGGGGTGATCAGCCAGCTAGCTGGTGGCAGGTTGATTATATTTGACCTCTTCCATCATGGAAAGGTCAGAGGTTTGTCCTCACTGGAATAGACGCTTACCCCGAATATGGGTTTGCCTATCCAGCACGCAATGCTTCTGCCAAGACTACCATCTGTGAACTCATAGAATGCACCCTCATGGTATTCCACACAGCATTGTCTGACCAAGGCAACATCCTGAAGCAGCTGGATTGACAGAACGGTGTCAGGCAATCCGCCCGCCTCGGCCTCCCAAAGTGCTGAGTCTGTCTGTCCCAGGCTGGTCTGTCTCTGTCACCCAGGGTGGAGTGCAGTGGCATGATCTCCGCTCACTGCAGCCTGGAACTCCTAGGCTCAAGCGATCCTCCCTTCTCTGCCTCCCAAGTAGCTGGGAACACACTGCCACGTCTGGCTAATTAAAAAAAATTTTTTTTGTAGGGACGGAGTCTCACTCTGTTGCCAAGGCTGGTCTGTAACTCCTGGGCTCAAGCGATCCTCCCACCTCTGCCTCCCAGTGTTGGGATCACAGCCGTGAGCCACTGGACCAAAAAAAAAAAAAAAGAAACCTAATATACAAAACAACGGCTGGGTGCGGTGGCCCTAGCACTTTGGGAGGCTGAGGTGGGCAGATTGCTTGAGCTCAGGAGTTTGAGGCCAGCCTGAGCAACATCTTTTTCTTTTCTTTCTTTCTTTATTTTTTGAGACTGAGTCTCTCTTTGTCGCCCAGGCTGGAGTGCAGTGGCGTGATCTTGGCTCACTGCAACCTCTGCCTCCTGGGTTCAATCGATTCTCCCGCCTCAGCCTCCTGAGTAGCTGGGACTACAGGCGCCTGCCACCAAGCCCGGCTAATTTTTGTATTTTCAGTAGAGACGTGGTTTCACCATATTGGCCAGGCTGGTTTCGAACTCCTGACCCTGTGATCCACCTGCCTCGGCCTCCCAAAGTGCTGGGATTACAGGTGCGAGCCACCGTGCCCGGCCTCTTTTTCTCTTCTGAGACAGAGTCTTGTTCTGTCGCCCAGGCTGGAGTGCAGTGGCACCATCTTGGCTGACTGCAACCTCTGCCTCCTGGGTTCAAGAGATTCTCTAGCCTCAGCCTCCTGAGTAGCTGGGATTATGGGTGGATGCCACAAATGCCCAGCTAACTTTCGTATTTTTAGTAGAGATGGGGTTTTAACATGTTGGCCAGGCTGGTCTCGAATGCCTGACCTCAAGTGATCCGCCCGCCTTGGCCTCCCAAAATGCTGGTGTCAGAGGTGCATGAACTAGAGCAATTCTATCTAAAACAGGAGCTGGGTAAAATGAGGCTGAGACCTATTGGGCTGCGTTCCCAGAGGGTTAAGACATTCTAAGTCACAGGATAAGATAGGTGGTACGAGATACAGGTCACAAAGACCTTGCTGATAAAACAGGTTGCAGTACGGAAGCCAACTAAAACCCACCAAAACCAACATGGCCACTAGAGCGACCTCTGGTCGTCCTCACTGCCGCACTCCTACCAGTGCCATGACAGTTTACCAGTGCCATGGTAGTGTCAGGAAGTTACTGTGTATGGTCTAAAAAGAAGAGACATGAATAATCCACCCCTTGCTTAGCATATCATCAAGAAATAACCATAAAAATGGGCTGGGTGCAGTGGCTCCCGCCTGTAATCCCAGCACTTTGGGAGGCTGAGGCGGGCGGATCACAAGGTCAGGAGATCGAGACCATCCTGGCTAACAAGGTGAAACCCTGTCTCTACTAAAAATACAAAAAATTAGCCGGGCATGGTGGCGGGTGCCTGTACTCCCAGCTACTTGGGAGGCTGAGGCAGGACCCAGCTACTTGGGAGGCTGAGGCAGGAGAAAGGCGTGAACCTGGGAGGTGGAGCTTGCAGTGAGCCGAGAGGTGCCACTGAACTCCAGCCTGGGCGACAGAAGGAGACTCCATCTCAAAAAAAAAAAAAAAAAAAAAAAGAAATAACCATAAAAATGAACAATCAGCATTGAGTTCCTTTACTTTCCTAACAAACTTGCTTTCACTTTATGGACTCGCCCCTGAATTCCTTTTTTTTTTTTTTTTTTTTTTTTGAGACGGAGTCTTGCTCTGTTCCCAGGCTGGAGTGCTGGTGGTGCGATCATGCTCACTGCAACCTCCACCTCCCGGGTTCAAGCGATTCTCCTGCCTCAGCTTCCCGAGTAGCTGGGATTACAGGAGCGCACCACCACGCCTGCCTAATTTTTGTATTTTTAGTAGAGATGGGGTTTCATCATGTTGGTCAGGCTGGTCTTGAACTCCTGACCTCAGGTTATCCACCTGCCTCGGCCTCCTAAAGTGCTGGACTCGCCCTGAATTCTCTATTGTGTGAGATCCAAGGACCCTCTCTTGGGGTCTGGATAGGCCCTTTCCTGTTAACACTGGGATTGCAGGCGTAAGCCACCATGTTCAGCCACCTTTGAGGCAGGAAAATAGGGTCTGGAGGCAGGCAACATATAAGGCCGACTCACATTTCAGTTATGACAGGAAATATCCTCTCCTTAGGGCATACATCCTAAATGACTTTGTAACTTTACTTCATCCTCTTCATTTACACAGGGCGTATCCCAAGTAACCAAGAGTATTTAAACTCCAACAAATCCTGTAACTGGCTCCTATGCTCAGCCGGCCCCCACACTGGAGTGTACTTTCATTTTCAATAAATCGTTCATTCCTTCCTTGCTTTGTGCGTTTTGACCAATTCTTTTTTTTTTTCTTTTTTGAGACAGAGTCTCGCTCTGTCAGCCAGGCTGGAGTGCAGTGGCATGATCTCGGCTCACTGCACACTCCGCCTCCCGGGTTCAGGCCATTCTCCTGCCTCAGCCTCCCGAGTAGCTGGGACCACAGATGCCCGCCAAAACGCCCGGCTAATTTTTTGTATCTTTTTTTTTTTTTTTTTTTTTTT